GCAGAGGGGAGAGCAGGGCCCCAGGCCGTGGCCGCTCTGGAGGCGTCGGGAGACTGAGCAGGCCGCTCACCGTCTAGTCCACTCGTCCCAGAGTCGCGTGAAGCTTTAGCGAAGGGCATAGTGCTCCTTCCGTGACCAGAACACGAGTGGGATGCCTTGAGGCAGAGGCCCCTCTCGATGCCGTCCCGATGGTGCTGTTAGCACAGACCCGTCCAGAGCGCGCGGGAAGTCCTGGAGTAGGTAGATGGGAGACTCAGTGGAATTCTATTTTCTTTTCATTAACTGGAAAATGTGCCCGCGGGTGAGAGGACAGCGGGCAGAGCGGCTCCAGGTTCGAGCCTGAGTCACGGCTGGCCGCGTCCCGGGGAGGAGGCTGGTGGGCCCTCAAGGTCAAGGGGACGATGAAGCATCGGTGCAGCCAGGCCTGGACAGAACCTCACAACTGTTAAGGCCACAGACTGGATGAGACCACCAGGGAGTGTGGATGGGGGTGTCCCCTGTCCCCCCCCCGCCCCCCAGGCCAGCATCAGCCCCTGGAGCTGCCCTGGGCTCACCACCCTCCTGAGCCTGGAGACAGGTTACTCTCCGGGGACACCAGCCCGGAGCCACCGCCAAGCCGACCTGTCAAAGCTGCCCCTCTCACCCCCCAGGCTCACGCCAGGGAAGGGGGAGGAGGGGCCAGGGCTCAAGGCACGGGTTCGAGGCCTGGATTTCCTGCCCAGACCAACCACCTGCCTCCCTGTGTGGCTCCAGGAAACTATTCACCCTCCCGGGCCTCCGTTTCCTGCCCTGGGCAGTGGGGTTGGTAAGAACAGCCTGTGGCTCGGGTGCCGCCAGGACGACACGAACAGCACTGACAGCAGCGTTGCACTCGCCTCCAGCCTCCTCCTCCTCACGCCTCAGTCCTGGGCTCCTCCCCCAACGCCCAGCCTGTCCGTCAGCCTGCCTTGGACCCTCAGTGTCTCCCGCAGAGGGTCTGCCAGGCACCTGGCCCCATCCCAGCCCCAGCCGCTCAGGCTCAGGTTCAGGCTCAGGCTGCCACCAGAGGGCGCGCTCTGAACGGATGGATTGGCCCCAGAACTCCCTGAGCACCAGGATGACTGCAAACTCCTAGCCAGGCAGGGAGCCCCTCCTTCCCAGGCCATGTCCACCCACACACTCACCAGCTTGGTTCATGCTACAGGCACACACGTGCACGCTACACACACACACGCACACGCACACGCACACCAGCGCTGGATCTGCCTCTGCCCAGCACAGCAGGAGGCCCCCTGGGACCGGGGAGGGGTGTCTCAGGCACACAGAGCCACATGCCTCCTGCTGGCCCCAAGGTGGTGGCTGTGGTGCAAGACAGACCCCCTCCTCGTACCCCATGGTGGCTTCCCCGCACGCCAGCCAGACTTCAGAGAAAATGCCAGGCCCCGCGGGTCTGGAGGCACGGGGCGTGCCCTCGTCCCTGCGGTGAGGGACACCATCGGGGGTGCCTGGGGCTTCACAGGCACCCGGGGGTCAGCCAGGGCAGGGGAGGGACCGGGCCCAGGGGTTCTGATGTCTACTATAAACTGCCACCCATGCAGGCGTGGCTCTGTGAGGTCTGGACTCCAGGAAGATTCTAGAAACCACGACTCTTCCAGAAAGGAGAGCAGGTGCTTAAAGGAGCCGTCGGCAGGCCCTCAGCTCAGTCTCTGTCGCCCCCAGCCCTCCCCAGCTGAGCCCCAACACGGCGTTCCAAGGGCCCGGCCCAGGGAGGATTGGGAGTCGGGGGCAGCGAGGCTCCTCCACCAAACTCCCCTCCTGACCCCCAGGGGGCAGCGCCGCATGCAGACGCCAGGCCTGGGCCCCACTCACCCCGTTCTGGCTGTTGCAGTGCCGGGTGCTGATGATGACGCCCGCCTCCTCGATCATCTTCAGGATGGTCCCTCCGTGCACGTTGCCGGCCACGTTGGCGTCGTCGGGCCGCATGATCCTGGGCGGAGGGAAGAGGCAGGATGAGGCCTCTGGGAAGGACGTCCTCACCAACAGTGACAACCGGGGAGAGGACAAAGGGACCGCTGGCTCCCCAAGAAGGAAAAAGACCTCTCCCGTGTTTGGTCCGGGGGTGCAGTTTCCGCGAAGAGAGGAGGGCAGGGCGCCTGCCCCTGGAGCCCCGGCCGGGAAGGGGTGATGGTGGGACCTTTGAAAAGGCAACGAGATGTTGGCACAGCTGCCCCTCCCGGTTCCCATCAACCAGCAGAGCTGAAGGAGCACAGGACACAGGCTGCGGCCCCTCGGAGGACGAACAGACCCGGCGCCACCTCCAGGGGGAGCCCCGAGGAGCAGCTCTGAGACGCAGGGATGCCCAGCCTGGCGGCCTGCAGGGGCGGACCTCCACCAGCTGCCCTGGTGCCACTGGCCACCTCACTTCCCGGGAGGAGGGAAGGGGGCTCCATGGAGTCTCTGAACCCAACAAGCCATCGCAGGCTCCTCCCCGCAGGGACAGGCACTGAGCACGCGCCATGGTTCCCGCACGCCCAGCACCCACCCAGGTCACCAGCCTGCGTGGCCCGCGGGCCAGCGTGGCCCCCACAGCACCCTCCGCCGCCTCCGGGGGGCCTGCTCCCCTCAGCAGCCCGGCGACAGGCAGCCTGAGGGTGGTCCTGGCTCCAGCACCAACGAGCTGGGTGCCCTGGCCAGCTGCCCACACGCTCACCCCTGCACTCCCGGGTCTGTAAACAGGCCCAACTGCCCTCTCCCCACGGGAGGGCTGGGCTGACCACGCGAGAGAACGGGATCAGCGCCACCAGAAACGGAGTCCGCCCGCGGCGACCTTCCGCTCTCCTGAGTATTCAGCCAGCTTACTGCAGGGCCCCGCATCCCGGGCGCTGACAGCTGTCGGTCCCTGTCGCCCAGGCCCAAACAAGTACCACAGCCCATTCAGGGGACCTGGCTTCTCGCCCCCCATCACTGGCGCAGGGGCAGCAGTGCCAGGGTAACCCCCAGAGCACAGGAAAGAAGTGTCACTCGGCCTCTCAAATGTTCACTTAAAAATATTTTGAGCCCTGGATGGTGTTGCTCAGTAGTTAGAGTGTCGGCCTGTGGACTGAAGGGTCCCAGGTTCGGTTCCTGGTCAAGGGCATGTGCCTGGGTTGCAGGTTCATTCTCTGAACCAGTCGGGGCACGTGCAGGAGGCAACCAATCAATCAATATGTCTCTCTCACATCAATGTTTCTCTCTCCATTTCTTCCCCTCCCTCCTCCCACTCTCTAAAAGTCAATGGAAATAATGTCCTCTATTGAGGATGAACAATAACAACATAATAATAACAATTTTGAATCAATGGGTTAAAGACTTGAACGTGGGACCTGAAACCGTAACGCTCCTAGAAGCCAGGCGGCAGGCTGCCTGACACGGGTCTCGGGGATGACTGTTTGGGATCTGACACCAAGAAACAAAGACAGCAGAAGCAGCGTGAGCAGGTGGACGGCATCGAGCGAAAAGGCTTTCAGCAAAATGAAAGGCAACCTAGAGTGGGAGGACGTACTGCAAATCATGTATCTGAGGAGAGGTTAAAATCCAAAATATACAAAGAATTTAAAACATCCCATTTAAAAATGGGCGGAGAAACTAAATAAACCTTTTTCCAAAAAGCACATACAAATGGCCCACAGGTACAGCTCCACACCACTAAGCTTCAGGGAAACAGATCCAAACCCAGAGAGACATTGCCGGGGTCTTGTTCCAGAATCTAGAAGGTTCAGCCATCTGGGTAAGGCTGTGTGTGACTTAATAAAGAGTCCAGTGACTAAATGTAATTTTGAAAGGCATTGGGGGTCAGAGGAGCCTCGCTAAAGAAACTGAGCTCTCCTCGGCTCAGGACCCCATGCTTTTTATTAACACAGTTTGTCCTGAGTCGAGGCAGAGACATACACCTCAAAGGGTCAGGGTTTCATATACAGAGGCGTTGTCAGAATGGGGGAATTAGCCTACGCTGTTCAGGTGTTTGGCCAGTAGGAGGCAGTAACATGTAGATTAAGATGCCCTGAGCTGCTTGGCAGCCAGCAATCAATTTAATGCGTCCTTTCCAGGCTCGGGAAATGCCCTCAGCCATTCCCAACAGGCATAACACATGTGACTCAGCCCTTGTTGAGCCCCAAGTTCCATCAACCTTTCAATGAAACTCTTGCAATTATGACCTGCTGGAACCGGCTTCTGGCAAGACATCACCTCACACCTGTCAAATGGCTGGTATCAGAGACAAGAAACAAGTGAGGTGAGGATGTGGGGAGGGACCCTGTGCGCTGCTGGCGGGGATGTAAATGGTGCAGCCGCCACACACAAGTGTGAAGGTCCCTCAAAAACCTGAACCATAATCCCACTTCTGGGCACGTGTCTGAAGGAAATGAAATCTCTGACTCAGAGATACGGCACCCCATGTTCACTGCAGCGATACTTAAACGTGACAGCCTAAGTCTCCATCGCTGGACGAGTGGGTAACGAAGATGTGGTACACACACCATGGAACACTGCTCAGCCATGAAAGGAGACCCTGCCATTTGCCACCACAGGGATGGGCCTTGAGGGCATGATGCCGAGTGAGCTAAATCGGACAGAGAAGACAGACACTGTATGATCTCACTTACATGTGAAATCTAAAAGCTCAAAATCAAAGGTGCAGAGAAGAGACTGGTGGTTGGGGGGCGGGTGTGTGAAACGGGTGAAGCGGGCCCTCATCGACCAATGGGAGCTCAAGTGGGTAGAGCCTGATGGAGGCTGGATCTGTCCATCAACTCCCCGTGCACAGTTGTCACAGTGATGCCAAGGGCAGGAGTGTCTCTGACAGATGTCTCCACCCATGATTAACCAGGTGTGCTCAAAGTCACTCTCTGCAAAGGAGGTCAGGGTTCAATTCTGGTCAAGGGCACATGCCTGGGTTGCAGGCTTGATCCCCAGTAGGGACCGTACAGAACACAGCCAATCAATGACTCTCTCTCATCATTGATGTTTCTAGCTGTCTCTCCCTCTCCCGTCCTCTCTGAAATCAATCTATATATATAAAAGGCTAATATGCAAAGTGTCCCCTCAAGAGTTCAACCAGGAGACTGGGAGTTCGATCGCTTGCTCTGAAGTGCACTGACCACCAGGGGGTGGTGCAGTGTGAAGGAAGGCCCTGAATGGCCCTGATTGCCGGCCAAGCCTAGGGACCTTACCTGTGCATGAATTTGGTACACCAGGCCTCTGGTATATATATATTTAAAAGGACAGGCATATAGACCAATGGAACAGAACAGAGACCTCAGAAATTGACCCACACTATCACAGTCAATTAATATTTGATAAAGGAGGCAAGACCATACGATGAAGTAAAGGCAGTCTCTTCACCAAATGGTGTTGGGAAAACTGGACAGACACAGACAAAAAGATGAAAACAGACCACCAACTTCACAAGAATAAACTCAAAATGGATAAAAGAGGAGCATTTGATATATGTTGTCAGCTAGGTTCAAATAAACTCATAAAATTAAAAAAAGAAAAAGAATAAAAGACTTAAATGTAAGCCATGAAACCCTAAAACTCCTAGAATAAAACACAGGAGTAAGATCTCAGATATGTCACACAGCAGAATTTTTGCAGATACATCTCCTAGGGCAAGAGAAACACAGGAAAAAATAAACAAATGGGACTACATCAAAATAAAAGGCTTCTGAACAGCAAAAGTAATCACCATCCAAATGAAAAGGGAGCCCACAGTATGGGAGAACATATTTGCCAGTGACAGACTGATAAGCGTTTAATTTCTAAAACATATAACGTATTCATGCAACTCAACAAAAGGAGGACAAATAGTCCAATTAAAAATGGGCAGAGGACCTGAAGAGACACTTCTTCAAAGAGGAAATACAAATGGCCAAGAGATATATGAAAACATGCTCAAAGTCACTAATCATCAGAGAAATACAAATTAAAACAACGAGATGTCACCTCACACCTGTCAGAATGTCTATCATCAACAAATCAACAAGTGGGGGCGAGGGCGTGGAGAAAGGGGAAACCCTCTTGCACTGCTGGTGGGAATGCAGACGGGGCAGCCACTGTGAAAAAGAGTATGGAGTCTCCTCAAAAAATTGAAAATGGAACTTCCTTTTGACCCAGCAATCCCACTTCTGGAAATATATCCTAAAACCCCGAAACACCCATCAGAAAGGATATGTGCACCCCTATGTTCACAGCAGTGTTGTTTACAATAGCCAGGATCTGGAAACAGCTGGAGTGCCCATGAGCAGACGAGTGGATGAAAAGCTGTGGAACGTCTACACAATGGAATCTATGCAGCTGTAAACAAGAGGGATCCCTTTCCCTCGGGACAGCATGGAGGGACCTGGACTATTATGCTGAGTGAAATAAGCCAGTCAGAGAAAGAGAACTTCACTTATATGTGGAATCTAATGAACAAAATGAATTGACCAACAAAGTAAGACCCGAAGCCTGGAGGCATGGAATAGCCTGACATACCTCCGTGTGGGGGTGGGAACACGAGGAGAGATAAACCAGAGAACTTACATACTTACTAGAAGCCCGGTGCACAAAATTCATGCATGGGGGGGGAGGAGGACCCTCAGCCCAGTCTGCACCCTCTCCAATCCAGGACCCCTTGGGGGATGTCCGTCTGCCAGTTTAGGCCCACAGAGATTGGGCCTAAACCAGCAGTTGGACATCCCTCCCACAATCTGGGACCACTGGCTCCTAACTGCTCACCTGCCTGCCTGCCTGATCACCCCTAACTGACCCCCATGATGGCCTGGTCACCCCCAACTGTCCCCCCTGCCGGCCTGGTCGGCCCTCTCCCCGCCGGCCTGGTTGCCCCATGCAGCTTGTTTGGTTGTCTGTTCAGCTGTTTTGGTTGCAACAGTCACTTAGGCTTTTATTATTATAGACTAGAGGCCCGGTGCATGAAAATTCATGCACTGTAGGGGGGTCCCTCAGCCCGAC